TTAGTACATCATTGACCTTTGTTTATTCAAAAATACGTACAACTGTTGAAGAATCTTCTTTGAGTAGGCATAATACGGTATTGAGTCGACAATATTTTTCAGTGTTTAATCCACCAATAATATACACATGTTGCACCGATGAATTGGATTCTTTGCATTTATTGAGCTTAATAATTGTTTCTTCAATGAAACGCTGGACTTTTTTTCGTGCATCGCGTGCATTAACATTAAATTTTAATGGACTTATATGATAAATAAATGTTGTGTTATCACTTAAAAGAGCAATAACGGCAATGTATGTATGTACTCCTGTAGTGGATAATCGAACATCATATAAGGACTTCCTCATGGCAACATTTCGTATGGAGACATCGGTAAAGAAGATCCGATAAAAATCGGCATTTTTGGATCCCCCCGAACGTTCAGTAAAAATTTTTTCTATGAAATGATATAAATTGAGTAAAAAAAGATCAAATGACCAAATTCTATTTCAATCATTTGCTTTGCAATAATGTTAATAGTAAAGCAACACCAATAAGTTTTGTCTATGTGATTAGATCAACAATTGATCCATATAGATGTTTTTATTTTTATTTTTTTAAGTTTTTTGTGTTTAAAAAAACTATTTTTTGTTTTAATAAAGAATAGGAATATGACACGCAATTGTCAAATGAGATAAAAAATTTTTTTTTGATTTTAAATGAAATAATTTTTCTTGTTTAATTTTCAGTCTATTATGAGACCATCATCAGAACGACAACTAAAAATTGAATGTAATGTTGAACCAAGATTTTTCACCATGACTTAAACCATCACCCGAAATTAGACGATGATCAACACCAACAGCATAATCTAGTACACCATTAATATCATCGATTATATCTATAACTGGAATAATGTATGTACTTATTACAGTAACTACACTGATGGTTATTATTTCTTCATTTAGAGATCCCACTCTTAATTAATGAACAGATGCTATTGTTCGATTTATTGATATAATCGATGGTATTGGTGGTGTACTAAGTTATGCTGTTGATGTTGATCATCGTTTAATTTCTGGTGATGGTTTAAGTCGTGGTGAAAAATCTTGGTTCAACATTACATTCAATTTTTAGTTGCCGTTCCTATGATCGTCTCATAATAGAGCGAAAATTCAACAAGAGGAAAAAATTATTTTATGTAACAACAAAAAAATTTTTATCTCATCTGACAATTACGTGTCATATTGTTATTATTTTATCAAAGCAAAAAACAGATTTTTTTTAAATGCAAAACACTTAAAACAAAAAAATAAAAACAGTGAAATAGATCAATTGTTGATCTAATAACATAAACAATATTTATTGGTGTTTCTCTACTATTAACATTATTGTATCTATCAAAATGCATGAAATTTCTATTAATAAATTTCTAATTATGAGGATATAGGATTTCCATTCTTGAAGAACCTAGAGACGTTTTTTTGGAAGAAGCTATTTATCTGTCAACTTGAGAAACGCATTTGTCGAGCGATACTCTCTTATGTTTTTTTGATTTATTTTAAAAATAAGACGTCTGATCAATTTAAAAAAAGATGTCTTTTTCACAAATGAAATCTTTCATTTTATTTACTAAACAATTTAATATATTAACAAATACAATCACTTCCACTGTAAATAAATATTATCAAGTAGACGTTTGATTGTATAATTAATCAATAGTTTGTTATCATTAATCATTTTTTGCAAGGTCTCAATTATTTTATCATCAGCAGTTGGAACACGAAAACACAATGAACGAAGATTATCATGAGATTCATGTTTAATGTTCTCCAAGATGTTTCGTAAGCAGGACTCAATATCGATATTGTTTATACAATTGACTTTGAGAAATGTCATATGAGGACAAAATTTCATAAAAAAAATCTCTTCAATATAATTTATTTTTTCGAGATAAACTTTTATAATTTTATTTTTATTTAATACGGTATTAGCAATATCAAGTTCTTCAGCAGATAAAGTTCTCGGTTGATTAAATGATATTGAATGAATTTTTAGAGAATTAAGTTCAAATAATAAATCTGTAATTCGAATCAATATACCCATAAACGTTTCTTCTACAGAAATTTCCAAATGATAAATTTATGCCGTACTTAAAATACGTTTGATGTGCTTAATTATTAATTCATAAGACTCAACAGTAGGCATATTCATGATATTTAATCGATTAGATTTCAAAAATTCAATAGAAGAATCTTCTGTATTTTGATGGCATGTTTTTCTAAAAGAGGGAAGATAATTTATTTTATATAAAGAACTTTTTTTCTATGTACTTGTATGGTAGAATTGAATAGATAATATTTTCATAATCGATTTCAGTTTGCAATAGTCATTGTCGCTCAATCCAAAATGACGAAGTAAATTGATTCACTTGTCCAAGATATATATTGGAAATACAAAATCATCATCAGTATATTCATAATATTTTAAAGAAAATTTTTCCAATTGAGGCAAATATTGTAAAATTAATTATTCCCATCGATGAGCATTAAGAAAATTTATATCTTGATATTGACTAATAACACATAAAATTTTTAATTTCGAATTGATCATATGTTAAATTATATAAATGTATTGAAAGATATGTTAAATTTGATAATGTCATTGATGGAATAGTTCCAATGTTTATATCATCATTTAAGTCATGTGTAAATTTCAAATGACGAAGTTTAGGTGTATAAGATATAATAGTAGAAAGTTCATTGAAAGTACAACAATGATCAATAACAAGGTATTCAATACTACTTTGTTGTTCATTAATAGCAATAGGTAATGAAACTGATAAATCTGTGTCACTTATTGAGAATTTATAATATTTTAACATTGGTAAAGCAAATATTAATCGGTAAGTATCAGTTAAATCTATTAAAATATTAAACATATCGATAGTTAATGAAACAAGACGTGGTAGAGAAGTTAATTTGACAAAAATTGACATAAGTATAACTGGTTTAACTTCCCAAAGAACAAGTGATTCAAGATGATTAAATGATGAATTGATAATAAATAACGATGAGAAAAATTCATTAATATGTGACGACATGTATAAGCTAATTGAATATATTTGTTGTCTATGAAAACATATTATTTGTTTCCAGTTATTGAGAAATACATCTTCTAGTCTTGAACGCATATATTTTATTTTGAATAAAGTAAATGAAGAACTGATTAATTGTTGAAAATGATCATTAAGATTTGAAAATGCTTCATATAAATCACAACCATCAAGATAATCAAATATTTCATAGAATAATTCCTTAGTTAAATTTTCGATGGAAGCTATTGATCGATCAAATTCATCTATTATAATAAAAAAACAAACAAAACTCTATCTATTTTATCAATAACTTACTATGTGATTTATGGATTTGTTCCTGTGACGGTTGATCAAAGCTTAATTTTTGTTTAACTTTATCCATATGTTTCTTTGAAAATTTTATATGATGAATTTTCTTTCTGTAGACAATAGAACGATGACATTCGATTCTTTTTCTTGTCTATATATATATATTCTTATGACGAAATCGTTCTAGGTATACGTATCGTTGCGTGTTAATAAAAACAAAGAAGAAGAAGATTGGCATACTTCTTATCAAAAAACAAATCTCCAGTAAATTAACAACAAGATATGAACAGATATTGTCGGAAATTATTCAGCAAATCTTGACTATTTATCTTCTGAAATCAATTTTAGAGGAAAAACTAACGTTTAAGCAGCTTGCAAATACTTTTGTATGGATGAAAAATAAGCTGGACTGAAGGAAAACTTACTATCAGAAGAGAACTAACATTATCAGTTTAAAATTAATAGTTTTTAGTTTGTATCTTTGAAATTTATTAGACAACTTTGACCTTTTATAATGCAATAAATTCCACCTTAGACTAATCGTTCACTCTTATATGCATGAATTGTAACCACCTCGAGTACAAATAATAGTTTATTCCAATCATTTATATGTTTGCTTGTTAGGCAGAATCAGAAAACGATGCGATTAATTTCTATAAAGGAATTTCATTCTAAACATTATTATGATCTCATAGGAGGGAACTTTCAATCGCATCCAAAATATTGAGAAGATGTCTTATTAGCAAAAACTTAAAATAATACCAAGATTGATCTTTTTTGTGAAATAACAACCATGATTATTATCTTGTCTAGAATTCTTTTTATTTGGTGATAGAAAAAGAAATTTATTAGATTTGGTTAATATACTTATACAATCATGTCTTTGTTTACGAGTTTTTTTCCTATAAAATAAAAAATAATCAATAAGTTTTCTCATATAATTTTAGAGAAATATTGAAAATAAATATATTGAGATGTGTGAACAAATAAACGATAAGGTCTCTTCCAATAGTAAACTTTACTCTTTTTCATTTACATTTATTTCACAAACAAGCAAACCGTGACTTTAACTTATATAAAAAAATTGTTTTCCTTTAAACTCGTATCAATGACGAAATAGAAAATAAATGTTCTTCCATGATGAACTTAATTTTTTTCCCTTAAACTTATCTCATAAAGGCAGCGATGGTGAGCTTAATTTCTATCATCGAAAAACCATCTGGTAAGTTTGGTTTCTATGACAAATTGACAATTCTTTTCCTTTTAGAGTCGTGGCAATGAACAAATAAACGGCAAGTCTTCTTCAATGATGAAGTTTATATTTTTGCTTTAGATTCATCTCAAAAACAAATAAATGGTGAGCTTAATTTGTATCATAACTTTACAGGTATTTTTTTCTTTCAGAGTTATGCCAACTCATAATCGAATAGTAAGTTTGCTTCTATGCCATAAGCTTGCGTTGTCTCTACTTTCAGTGATGGTAAGGTGAAGTAGTGAACAAATTCTAGAGAAGAGAGGTTGTTGGTTTTTTCGATTAAAGACAAGTCTGGCTGATCGCTATTGAAAACGAGATCATAGTGACGAATTCTAAACTCCTGTGGGACTTGTTCTTGCTTAGAAGGGATCGATTGCATGATTTCGTTGAGCGATGCTCTCCGGAAAAGTTTTGATCTCATTACAAGAACTGAACGTTTTATATTTAATGGACTGTTCTTTTGTGCTGATAGAATCATTCATTGAGGCAAAAGAAAAAAGTTCGAGATGAAACTAGATTATGCTAGCACCCTAAAAGGTTCAGCATAGCACATTTTTTCTTTAGAGAGCATCGAATGGTTCGTGGATTATCATCTGTTGAGCAGTATATTGAATGATTTCAATGACTTCGACATCTCCATTGGAATTATTTCGAATGTTCAGCTTCGCACACTACGTGAAGTCTACACACAATGTTTGGACATTACAATTGTATGTGGTTAGTTCCGTTGTCTTGTACAAAGAAGTGACTCATGAATATGAATGAGTGACTGGTAGGGATGTCTGGCTACCGCATGATGCAGGCTACTGAAAAAAAGCAAAATACTTCAAGCGAGACATTTTGAAAGAGAAAGAACGGAAGAAGCACAAATATCAATTACCGTCACGTGAAAGAAGCAAGTTTCTTTTATATTGCCAAACGAAACACATTTAATTAATGATAATGTTAGTAATGCGAGTTCATTTACCATATTTCTACCTACTCTCAAAACGAAGATGCATATATTTTTGATGTGTTCAACACACCAGTTCCAAGCACAAACGAAAAAGAGTTAGAATTGTATATAAACTATTTTTATTTTTTTCCTCCTATAGTAATGTTAACCACCACACCTATGCAAGTGGGGGCAATATTTTTTTTAACGCATCGCACTCATTCGTTAACATTACCGTAAGAAGAAAAAAAGAAAAAAATAGTTTATACACATTTGAAATTTTTTTTAGTAGGCCGTCACACTCGAAGTATTTTTTCTTCCAGTACTCCTCATCATTCAATAGTCAGACATTTCTACCCGTCGCTCATTCGTTTTCGTCGATTACTTCTTAGTACAGCCAAACGAAGCAAACCATATATAATAATAATGTCTGAAGGCGGTGTGGGGACTCCACGTAATGTGAGAGGCTGTACGATTCGAAATAATTCCGATGGAGATGCCGAAATTCATGTAATCTATAAGCAATATCCAAATGAAGAAAAAAGCGACCGTCCTCATCATCATAATGTGACTTTATCCCCAGGTGAGGCACATCGTGTCGAACCGAGAACAGTCACAGTGGACGGATGTCAGATGTACGGACCAGTTGAAGCCATTGAAATCACTCAATTTACTGGTCAACAGATGACAATTCACGAACCATTCGATGGTGTGAAGGAAATAGAAACAGATTGGCTTTTTATCATTGACGACTATGGCATTCATTCAGCACGCAGAAACGACTAGACAGATGAATCTAATGATTTTTCAATGGACTTTTGACCATAAACATCTTTATGATCGTCAACAATATGCATTAGTCGATAGTTGAGTTTATTTTCAGTTAATCTTTTGAAAAATGCCTTCCTACTGTATTAACAGATAATTTTAGACCAAAATGTCTCATTCGTTTAAAATAAAAACAGTGACTTTGCTAATCATCTGGCTTTAATGGAGATCAATTAATATTGATGATATAGAGAGCTATTGCCGGATGAATTATAGCTATTGTAGATAGCTTTTGTACCGTTCAGTGAAACCATTGTTTATTTGTCAAGAGTGTATTCATCTTGATTTTGAATTTTTGAAAAATTGCTGATCGAAGAACATCATTCTAAAGTTCCTATGGTTGAAAACAGGAACCTTAATGTATCATAATCTGCCGCACATGCATCATGTCAATGTCGGTTATTAAGGCCAGCCTACCCCTGAAAAATCGATCTTAGCAAAACATATTTAAATCACATGAAATTTTCAGAATATGTATTAGGACTGTAGTGGAGAGGCTATGTTCATAAATTTCGTCCTATGCTGTGACATTTTCGGCAGATATTCATGAAAGCAGCATCAACAATAGCTTGTTTGGTAACCCAAAATTCTTTGCAGGCCTTCATTATATATATTTAGGTTGTTTAGTTTGAAAGATCATGTCAATAGGCAGGACAAGATGATGACCTTTTGCTTAAAATCATATTTTTAAAAGGGATAACACGGATGAAAACATAGCAAATTTTCATGCAGATAAGAACAGAAATGATCCAAAAAATTTTAGCAAAAATGGAAGCACCGAATAAAAGATGAATTCGTTTATGAAAGATCAGACATCGGCCTATTTTCATATGGATTTATGCTAATTTTTATTGGTTTTTAACGAAAATTGACTTTTTTCGGGCAGAAATGACCTTAAAACATGAAAATCGATTCTAAATAACGTGGTCTACATCGCGCTGAAGAAAATCTATCCAGAGCATTCGATCAAATTAGTGTCGGACAAAAAAGTACCTTTTTCCAGTTCATTTTTTCATCACATAACACAATGCGCTTAGTTAAAAAAAAACAAAATATACCATAAGATGCAGCTTGAAAAGCTCTACAATTTATAAAGAACATCTTATTCTATAGTTGCACTTTTTTTTCAAAATGAACAAAATTTTGTGCGACTAATTTTTGGCGCTGCGAACGTGATCATTTTTTGGTACACAATGAATTCCTTGTTTTATTGTTTTTGGTAATAAGTTGTATCGAAAGTCATATTCGATGGGCGAACAATGGGATACAGTTAAAAAAACATGATCCATTAATCGACGACATAGGAAAAGGAATTCACTGTGTACCAAAAAATAATGTTTTTCGAAGTGTCAAAAATTAATGACTCAGAATTTTGTCCATTTTGAAAACAAAAAGTACAATTATAAAAGAAGTTGTCCTTTGTATATTGCAGAGCTTTTCACGCTACATCTTGTGATATATTTTGTTGTTTTTTAGCATAGTACATTTGGTGATGAAAAAAGGAATCGGAGACAGGTACTTTTTTCTGTCCGAAGGAGAGCATCACGAAAATGATGCATTTTTGTATATGTCGAAGAAAGCTGAAACAATAAACCAGTGCAACGGGCTTCATATATATATACGTGTAGTTTAACTTATGTTCTATCCGTGAATATGCAAATGAAGATATAATAATAAAGTATAAAGAAGAACGACCTACTAGAAAAAGGTACTTTTTTGTCTGTGAGAGATTGAAGATTTAATTACACGCGACTTTGTTCTCGTACATGCGGAAAATGATATCAATCGTCTTGGAATCTGTTCTATACGAGACGACAAATCAGCTGAAGACGAAATTCAACGTTTATTCTGTGGAAAAACATGTAATGCGATAACTCAGTTCAAAGATAATGACCAACTCATCGTATCAAACACTAACCAATGATGGAATTGACTGTGTGGCGAATGGTCTTGGTTGTTGCTTATATTGCCGAAGCGTTTAGATGACGTGAATATCAACAGCAATACAGAGTAATGATTTCATCGAATCAGCGATACATCGCAACATCACATGTTA